AAATAAAACAGTAATAATTTCATTAAATGACTTAAATAAAGCATTACAAAGGAGAAGGGACCTAAAGTGTAGTTACCCCGTGCTTGCAAAACACGGGTGCCCAGACCCTTGAAACGGCGCCGTTTTGAAACCCGTTTAAATACCCCCTTTATATGTTTGAAAATTCATCTCCCTTCATTCTTCTCCCCTTCCATTTCACAGAAAGAGAGAAAGAGAGGAAGCTCTCAGGAGCTTCAATCGAAGCCCAGAATCTGAGGAGGCTTCGCCGTGCCGGCCGCCGTTGGTCGGCGATCACCGCCGTACGCCGCCGCCAGAAAAGAGAAAGGAGGGCACCAACTGAAACGCCTCAACGCCCTGGTCATGAATCCGGGGTTAGTTTCCCCGAAAAAAGGCTCAAACGCTGTGAATCTATGAAGAACCCTTCGGATTCTTCGACTCCGGCGACCTTAGATTTCAACGATGGAACGAGGTAAGGGTTTCTCTCCTTGGTTCCTCTACACTCTCCGTATTTTTTTCCCTATTTCCTTTCTTTTTATGTTTTTATTTTTTTTTATCTTCTCTCCTCTCTGATTTTCTTTTTTCTCTGCAAAACTCGAATGGTCCCTTATCACATATTTCTCTCTTCTTTTATGTTGATCTCTGTGATTGGTTTGATGGATGATTGATGTTGTCAATGAATAGATATGGCCATGGCAGGATTAGATATGCCTTGGGATTTCTCTTGTACTTGCATCTTATTTTTTTATTGATTTTTATATGTTCTTCACTGTTGATAGATTGATGGAGGGACCTTCGGTCACTGCGGATGCAGGCGGCCGGCGTCAGAGGCTGTCGGTGAGGGGATGCTTGGCTTGAGCGGCGGCTAGAGATGAGAAGTTTGGCTTGTGAAGCTCATGCGCCTGAGAGAGTTGAAGCGGCAGTGGCTGGCTTGATATTTTAGGGTTAGAAAACCCTAATCTATTGAGCTTCGGGCCGGGTCGATTCAAATCCGGGTCGGGCTCCAATTGGATTTTGGATCTTGGGGTTGGGTCACTTGTGAACTTGTATGTATTGGGTCATGTCTGTTGGGCTTGGTGTTTGGGGTCAGATTGTGAAGCCTACAAAAATTGTGACATGTAAATTAATAATAATAATAATAGTAATAATAATAATATAACGAAAATAATAAATATTAAATAAAAAAAAACCCGGACAAAAACGGGTGTCTACAGACCTAATAACCGATAATGTATCGAGAATTCAGACATTTCATTGGTAGTTACCCAACTCCCAACCATGAATGGTATAGTTCTTTTTGACAGTAATGAATAAAAGATTAGGCATTGGTGTAGTTCCAAGCACCAACCGCTTCACCATTAGGATGAACAGTTCGACCAGCAGGAGCATTTAATCCAAAAATAATCTTAGCCCTGAATTATGAAACAAATTAATGGTCGAATTAAACATTCATATTGGTGTATGTTCATTATATGCAAATGTATATATATATATATATACCCTGATTTTTGAAAGAAGGAATTGATTTCATCCCATCTATTCATGGGTAAACATCCATTTGTAAAACCAAACATCTCAGATGTGTTTCTGGCAAACGAAGTGCAGTGTTGATTGTCATCTGTCCCATATATGACAAGGTCACTGTGGTGAAGAACATCATCTGAACACCAAAAGCAAAGAGATTACATTACCGGATTGAGAAGACCAGCAAGACCCCAACTGCAAGTACCATAATCACACTTCTCAGGAGGCCACCAATCCAAAGTAGCACATATGAAATCTTCATCTATTATACCAATGGCAGCTTTCCCCTCGATAACAACAGTTCCTTCGATGGCTGCATTAGCAGCTTGTGAACTTGCAAAACCCAAAACAACAAAACAAACCCAAAAACAAAAAGAACCCATTTGCAGCTATAAAACCTCACACGGATTTTAGAATTGTCTTACAATAACCCTAATATTTTTCATCTATTTATAGGGTTTATTACTTGACAGGAAAGAAATCTCATATTACAAGAAGTATTCTTCAATATAAATCCCTACCTTCAGTTAAGAACTAACAGAAGAAACATAGTCCTGTACAAATTATACGTAGTGATTAAATCTAATATTACAGGGAGTGTTCTTCAATATGAATTTTGTTTTCAGTTAAAAACTAACAGAAAAATATAATCTTCTACAGATGGGATACAATGATTAAATCTAAAACTAACAATTTCCTCGTGTATCCAATACGTATTTCATAGTATTAGAACTTTGTCCACGTTTGGAACATGTTTAAGAATATTAATGCTTTAAGTACGTCGATGATGATCAAGTTTCAGAAGACAGTTTTAACCAAAAATCAGACCTGAATGCAGCCACAGGAGCTGAGAGCCGATCTGAGTTTATCAGGTTCTTCACTGGTGGAAGTTGATAATGCAAGGAGTTGCACATCTATAATTGGAACATCCAACATAGGAAAACAAACATCAAGAGATCCACCTCCACTGTCTTCATCTTTACACCGGATGTATCTTTCCGGGACTTCTTTACCGCCGATAGTTGCCAGTTCCTGCACTGTCATCAGTTGTGGTCGAAGCTCGATAGGGCCGAGTGGTTCAGCTTCAGCCATATTAGCAAAAGAGAGACCCCAAGGTTCAAGCCTGTTCTATAGGAAACCATTTTTTTTATTGTGAAATTCAGACATAACATATAGTATTACGTCATTACAAGTATCAAAGTCCTACGATAATTATTTCAGACGATATCATTACCATTGTTTAACTGATCTTGAGTTAAATCCATTGTACATTCTACTACTATCGATGACGATAGAAAATAAGGTATATTTTTATATGTAATACCAATACGAGGTCTTAGGATTAAGGGTAGTCAGAATATTCTTATGTATAATGAACCGAAAATGTTTGGCGGCTACAGTACTCCAACTTTTTAACAATTCAACTTCAATTTTTTATGTGGCGGTTGGTTCTTGAAAGATTACCTGCCAAATCTGTTTTACTTTCAAGAGGTATTGTTGGCAATGATCAACTCGGTTGCCCTTTCTGTACTGATTCAGCTGAATCCGTTTCTCACCTTTTCTGTCATTGTACCATGTCATGGAGGCTTTGGCAGATGTGTTGCAAGCTGTGGGACGTCAATTTTGTAATGCCAAGAGATCTCAAATCTTTCGTTTCCTGGTGGGTTTCTTGTAAGATCTGTGCTGTCTCTCATCCGATTTGGTTGATGGCTCTTCATGGTTTGGCTTGGTCAATATGGCTATTTCGGAATGAAGTAGTTTTTCACGGAAAGAAAGTGGATGAGAACCAAATTATCGATATTTTCCTTACTCGAGTCGCTTGGTGGAGTAAATGCAATTGGCATGACAAGGTACCTTCAGTCAACAATTTTATTATTAATCTTGTATTAGTCTCGATTGGATCTGTGTCAACGAAAAGGAATATTTTGTTAGATCGTTCTTAATGGTTTCGTTTGAAGTGTTTTCCTGAATTGTTATGTCCTTTCTGGTAAGTTCTTGAGCTGGTGAGAATTTTCCTTCTATCTGGTTGATCAAAGGTTGACTTTTCTGTTCTGCATCCTTTTTTCTCTGGTTGGGATATGGTTTTCTTCAATTGTCAATTCATATGGGGATTCCATGCTACTTGCGGTTTTGATTGGTATGGTGCCTTCTCTTATTCGTTTGCTTTGTTTTCATTGCTTGGGAGATGGTTACTTGTGGCATTTTTTTGGCTTGATTATGTTACTCTCCTGCCATTAGCTGCTGTGATTTGGTTTTGGTCATTATGGATTATGATTTGCTTTTGTTAGGTTGTGGCCTTGTTTCTGATTCATGCATGGTTAGTATGGGTATGGGTTGTGCTGTATTAGAACATTTATTACTCCTTTTGCATTACCAATTGTTTAATATATTTCGGGCACTCTTTTCCCCTTCCGTTGTCTCGATTAAGCTTCAGCTTAATTGAGTTACGAGGGTTTTTTAACGAGGCTCATCTTTCCGTTTCAAAAAAAAAATAACATCCTTAATCCAAGTTATATTATTATATGTTTGAAAAAAATAACTATGGTGCCAGATTGGATGGTGCAGAAGTATAGATTCCTCGCTTCTATTGCACACCGGACATACAGGGCTTGAGCTCAGACCTCTCCTCGCCCTCTCAACGTTGGTAATAAGGCGCCGGTATAAGATTAACCAAAGGAAATGTTTGGCTCTCTGAGGTCCATCATACTTCCATACTATGTCTCACACTTTGTCGGACGCGTTCCACTTATCACTCTCCAGGAAATTAAACGTTGATCTAACGGTGCAAGCACCAGCTTGTTCCCAACGCCAGAGGGGGCGGTCATCTCCTAATTCATCGCGAGGGGGAGGAGTAGCCATCACCCATTGGAGGGACTCATCATCAAGGACATTCAGCAGAAGATTGATATCCCACGTATCTTTCAATTAACTATAGCCGTCTTCAAGCCCTCCCAAATAAAGCTTCGCGCACTACTCTCAATATGATCACACACTCCTTTCAGAATGGCAATAATCTGCCTGAAGTAGTTTGGTATTGCTAACAGGGTGGCTTTGGCAAGCGTGACACGGCCCGCCGTAGACAATTTTGTGGCCAAATTTGGGTATACTATAGAAATAAATTACCCCCTTAAACGTAAATTTTATTAAGAATTCAATGGAGTTGTAATGCTGAGCATTATCTTCGTAAATTTTAATACCAGGATTTATAACTGCATCTCTAATAAAAGCTAAAAAGAAACAGAAGTTTGTAAAGAATGAAAAATCAATATTAACTTTCTCTCACTTGGTTTAGTTTACTATAAATAATCACACCCAAGTTCCACCTTTCAACACTCCATTGAAACAGTTCATATACCTGGTAGATAACCATGTCTTCACAAACAACAATGTTGCTGCTCATTGCCACATTCACAGCCCTTTTGGTCCAGCCGGGGCTAGCCGATCTGCCTCGGCTGCTCCCACCGATCCCGTTGGGGATCATGCCGCACTTTCCGGGACAGCCGCTCCCACCATCATCGATGGTGGCTCCTACGGATCTCGATTGCTTTTCGACTCTGCTTAACGTTCCGGGATGTGTTATCAATATTTTCGACGCTATGCTTAGTGGCGAATTTGATCGTGTTAATAAAAATTGTTGCGATGCCTTTTCGGCAGTCGGTGTGAATTGTTGGCCTGTAATGTTCGATGCTGATCCTTCCTTCCCACCCTTGCTCAAGGATTATTGTACTCGCTTTGATGCAGCTCCACCCGAAGCCTAAACGTCGTCGGTTTATTTCTACGATTTTAATTAATAATGTTTTTTAGGTTAGATAATATCTAGAAAGGTAATAATTAACTTAGTTTAGGTGTAAGAAATTATGTTCAATAATTTCTGAATATGAAATAAAAAAATTTGTTTTAAATACTACTATTATTAATTTCACATTTCTTCCTCCACCATATGCATTTCTTTATTTACATAAAAATATGGGACGTACACGAATTAGTTTAGGTTCTTTGCTCGAATACCGCATATGTCAAGAGACAATTTAACAAACAGCTCAAACTTTAGTTAATTTTTTAACGAAAAATGGAGTCTCCAACTAAAATAGTCCGGTGTCTCTTCCATAAACCTTGTCCACTTACATTTGCAAGAGATAATCAGATGCTAGGCGTAGCAGATTTGTTTCCTCTTTCTAAAAGTTTCTATGTCGGATGCTGTGTAGCTTTTTGCAATGCCCGAAACAGCTTTGGGAGTCTTCCCAGGTGTAGGAGCCTCCTACTTATTTATAGTCATCATTACCGTAGGCCCGACACCGACACCGACACCAATACTAAAACACATATGTAAACCGACATGCAAAGTTGAGAAGAGTACTCTCTTTCGCTCGTTCATTATCTCTAATTATAAGATTATTGTTCGTCTTCTGTAACATGTCCATCTTCTCCATCTGCAGACGTCTTTGCATAATCACCACCCACCGTCGCCGTAACTACAATCTTTGCATCAACAACATGTATAATTCGTGTTGTGTTTGGTTTTGATGATGAGATTGATTGGGGTCAGAGGTGGCTAAGTTACAACACAGCCAAATTATTGAGCTTAGGATTGGTGGGTTGGCCACCACACCTTGTTGACCACAATGGTACAAGAAAGGGACCATATGATTGTATCAAAAAGATAAATGGGGCTCCTCGCATGCCTGCCCAAATTGTTGGAGGCCATGGGACAGGATAAGGATTACAAGTTCAATAACTACACGTTAACAACTAATTTCTTTTCTTGTCTAACAATGACTGATGGCTCTTCCATTTTAATGCGAAAAATGTTACATAAAAATTATGATTATAAGAAGAGAAATTGTATTAATATCAAAAATAAAAAAAGGGTAAAGTATATAGATAGTCCCGAAACTTTTAGGACGCCAGCATTTTGATACCAAACTTTTAAAACTTACAATACAGTCATCGAACTTTTAGCTCATTTTCATTTTGGTCTCTGTCGTTACCTTCCGTTAGTTTTTGCTGACATGATACTTAATCTCGTTAAATTTCTGATGGTAGCTTCTTCCTCTTCTTCTTCTTCTTCCTTCCTTCCTTCCTCCTCCTCCTCCTCCTCCTCCTCCTCCTCCTCCTCCTCCTCCTCCTCCTCCTCCTCCTCCTCCTCCTCCTCCTCCTCCTCCTCCTCCTCCTCCTCCTCCTCCTCCTCCTTCTTCTTCTTCCTTCTTCTTCTCACACACTTTCTCAATAAAATCCTAGATCCAAAACCTTGTCATTTCTTGAATTCTTTTTATCTCTCTATTTTCCCAATAAAATTCAGTTTCTCTCTCTACTTTCTAAGGAAAAAGAATTCTTCTTCTTCTTCTTCTTCTTCTTTCTTCTTCTTCTCACACACTTTCTCAATAAAATCCTAGATCCAAAACCTTGTCATTTCTTGAATTCTTTTTATCTCTCTATTTTCCCAATAAAATTCAGTTTCTCTCTCTACTTTCTAAGGAAAAAGAATAAAAAAAATATTTGACCCTAAATATAAACATATCCCCGTACTTATGATTTTGTCCTTTGACTTCATCCTTGAATTCTCTTCGCATTTGTATGAACAAGTCAAGTTTCTGCCCTTATCAGTTTGGTTATGCAGGAAATTGGATACTTTCTTATATCATAGTTTTCCGCACCTTAACTAACCTTGTTTTCCTCCCACCAAAGCAATCTTTGCACCTTTGTATCCTATGATAGTCATTGCATGTTGTGTTGCTATTGAATGGACTCATGCAGTATCACTGCATGGATCACTCTGTTAAGTTTACTCTTTGCATGTTGTTTCTCATCCTTTGACTTCCAAGTACCTTCATCAATTCTAATATTCCTGCAGGTGTAACCTTGTGGACCTAATGGTAAAGATGGATGGGATGCGTCCGGAAGGAACAGTTGTGATTCGAGATTCTCCTGAAGTTATCGACAAAGTGGCTCTCGCATAGCTCACGGAGAACGGTGGATGCCTACTATACCTGACAAGGAACCTGAATCATATGGGAGAGAGAGAATCCTGGTGGCAACGAAAACGTTTTGGAAGCTAACTTCGCCATCTAATTGATACAGATTTGTAATGTAGGTATTTTCCTTTTCATTTCATTTTTGTTAATTATCTGAAGCCAAGTTGTCTTCCTCCCCATGATGCAATCTTGTTTCTTTTTCCTTATTTGGTTTATTTATATCAAGAACTCAAAACTGTATATTTTCAAAGAGTATGAAAATCAAAAAGCTGTAGTTTTTAATCAAACTCAGAGAACTGAAAGCATAAGGGTTTAGGGTTTAACTAAAATTATTTAGCTGTAGGTTATATTTAAGGTAAAATAATCTTTTTTCCCCAAGAAAGTAGAGAGAGAAGCTGAATTTTTCTGGGAAAATAGAGAGAGAAAAAGAATTCAAAAATGACAAGGTTTTGGATCTGAAATTTCATTAAGAGAGTGTGTGAGAAGGAAGAAGAAAGAATGTGGAAGAAGAAGAATAAGAAGAAGAAGAAAGAAAAAAAGAAGGAAGGAAGAAGGAAGAAGGAAGAAGGAGAAGAAGAAGTGCGGTATTAGAAATTTAACGGATTTAAGTGTCACATCAGTAAAAATTAACGGGAGATAACAACAGAGACTAAAATGAAAACGAACTTATAGTTTGATGATTGTATTACAAGTTTCAAAAGTTAGGTAACCAAAATGTAAGGCTCTAAAAGTTTAGGAACTATTTATATAATTTACCCTAAAAATATAATAAAATTTATATTTATTTTACTAATTTAATGGAGAATGATGAATAAGTTATGATCTTAAACTTTCACTCTTCAAATCTCTATTTTTTTTACTTTTTAAATCAAATTAAATAATAAATAACATAACTAACATTATTTTAGGCTTAAAGGTTATTTCTTTTTGCAGTATATTCAATTTATTGTTTTTGTTCTATGATATTTTGTATTAATTTAGTCTTCAAAGTTGTTTAATCGTATTAATATTTAAAATATTATTAATTAGGGTTTTAAATTAGGATTTAGGGGGAGTTTGAATCACGTTATGTGAGATTATCAGGGGGAATGGAATATGATTCCCCGTTTGGATTGCAAAGATTCCCAACCCCTGGGAATAAGTTATTCCTGGTAATAAGTTATTCCCAACCCCCGGTAATAATTTATTTCCAACAGTGGTATTTTGAGGGCTTATTACAGGGAATGTGATTCCCCCTTCCATTAGGTATTGTTATATTCCTGACGTTTTGGACTAAAATACCCTTAAAATTTTTAAAATATATATATATATATCCTTCTTCTATCGTTGAATAAAAAAATCTACGAAGATTAAATTGTAAATTTATCCTTAAACTATTTTAGATTTGTTGAGTTAATCGAATGACGAAATTGGCCAAGAGGGGGGGTGAATTGGCAATAAAAAATTTTGTGGAAGCTTTTGCAGAAAATTGAAAGTAATTGCACAGCGATTTACAGTGGTTCGACTTTCTCAAACAAAGTCTACGTCCACTACCTTAGCTATCCACACTAAGGATTTTCCAACAAATTCACTAATTTGTTCTTTCTTTTGAGGCCAAAGAGATAACCTTACAATTCCCTCAAGAGTATACCCCAACTCTTGAGAACACTCTTTTCTCAAAGAGAAGATTACAAATTTGCAAACTTACAAGAAAACCTCACAAGGTAAGATGTTTGCACAATTCTAGAACAAAGAAAAGAATACTCAAAGATGAATACAACTGAGCACAAAAAGTGTTCTTGAAAGCAAAATGAATATTGAATGAAAATGGGCTTGAAATGCTCAAACTTGAGGTTTGATGCTTTCTCTTTGATTCTCTCTTGATTCTAGTTGCTTGATGTTTCTTGTTATTGATCAATGGCTTCTAAGCTTGCTTAAATACACCTTGGATCACTTCTGAACGTTGGGATAATTAGAGAAGATATTATAGCCGTTTTAGTGTGAAAACATTTAATAAAACAGCTTGGAGCGTGGGGGGAATCGGTTCCCTATCATAGGGAATCGGTTCCCTAAGTGTAAAATTCAAATATTTCGACCGTTGAACAGGGGGGAATCGGTACCCCTTGGGGGGAATCGGTTCCCTCCGAGCATTCTGGAAATCTCGGAGCCAAACCATTCAGGGGGAATCGGTTCCTCCTATGGGGGGGAATCGGTTCCCTCTGAGCAATCTGGAATTTTTGGCTTTGAATTGGTTCGAAATACTTTGTAAAATATTTTGAAATTGTTTTATGATTAAAACTTAATTTTACACTTAAGTAAGGATCAAAAATGATTTTTGAAATATTTGGAGTAATGTTTTGATATTCGAATAGTTATATCGAATATACTTAGAAAATCATTTGGAAAATCTTAAAATCCATTTAACTTAATTTGTTATATCGAAATATTAAAATGTTTCAACAATCTCCCCCTTTTGATATAACAAAACATTTTAGTAATTTAAGATTTTTGAAATCAAGTTTTTAAAATTACTCCCCCTTACTTTAACACTTCTTCAATTTATCATGTAAAACATTTAACACTTATTCTTCTCCCCCTTTTTGTTAAATCAAAAAGACATTGTAAAACAAGGTTTTGAAAATCATTTAGCCAATTGATTTATTAATTATAAGCTTAAGCTGCTAAGATCACAATCAAAAGAGAGGTTAGCCATTAGTTTCATAAATCAATATTCATAAATAATGTGATATGGCAAAATTGGTCATGTTGCTAATGATAATGTAAATGATGCAAAATGAATGAAATAC